CTTGCTGAGGAGCCGAAGTGGGATCCCACTCCCTTTCATACGCAAAGCGAAAAAGGCCCCGGGTTCGATCCCCGGCATCTCCACCAAAAATCTTGGGACGCCATGACCAGGTTTTGCGACCTGGTCATTGCGTTCCAAGGATATTCACGATGTGTCCCTAGATTTAAGTTACTTGCCCAATGTTGGACTTTGATTGGGTCGGTTGCCCGATGAGTTCGCCCATCAACCAAACCGGAGCCAGAATTGGTTCTCCAGGGTACTGGAAGGTAGGTAGACAAAAAAGCTACAATAAGAAGTAATACGGAGATTAATCCAAGCATTATTTATCAATGTTGTTAATTATGCATCGTCTAGTTCAACTCTTATATTTTTTTGTGAGCACTCAATAAAATTAACCCTTCTTTGAGTCGAGAAAGTTCGTGATAAAAAAAATTTTGAATAAACGGCTAAAGTTTCCTTTCAAATTTTAATATATTCAGCGCGTTCTGCGCCGAAGTTTGTTGTTTCTGGTAAAATTCTAAGGCGAAGGCTTAAAGATTGTGAAAGTTGACAACAAGAATTTAAATTTAAATCTAAATTATTGTCTGTTATCTTCAGTTATAAATGTGATTGAAAATAATCGATTTAGTTTTTAATTAGTTGTACCAATTTTTGTTGTGATTGATCAATCCAGAGTATCACTAAATGGAAACCAAGCTACGTAGGTGAGCTCACGGGGCTCTTAACCTGAGACGACTTGCTAATACAAGCCCCAGTAAGAGAAGTGCTTTACTGAATCCACCACCGGATCGGAATCGCGACCCATCGAAAAGATCCGGCGAGAAACTCAGTGGGCTGCGTCTATGAGTTAGGTTTCACGTCGAACTCTGTTTGTCTGAGCAGTGTTTAGTGCCTAAAAAGCCGAGAGTGGATCTGGAGGGTATCATAAGACATGCTTAGAGTGACGGTGGCTTTGTGTTACCCCGTCATCTGGGTCAGAAATGTGGTTCGAAGCAGCCATGATAAGGGGGTTATCGTGCTGCGCTGCTTTCTCAAATAACAAAATGTCACTCGAATACTCACACCAATGCTGATAGTCTTGAGACGCTATTTCAGCTTCTCCTTGACGTGTAGTCAAGTCAAGTAGTTCCGCGAGTTCACGGGGCTCAAACCGGAGTGTTGCTAACACTGGCCCTAGCAAGAGCAGTGTTTCGCAGAATCTACCACCGGATAGGAAACGCGACCCACTGAGAAGATCCGGCGAGAAACTCAGTGGGCTGTCCGTGGGGTTACATAAAAGCACCGTTAATGGCTCGGGAGGATCTGTAATGACGTGTTTAGGGCTACGTCGACTGTATACCATTCAGTCCACAGGATCGGGTATGTAATTCGAGTATGTAATAAAAATGAATCTTAAACAATAATGAATTGATTGAATGGAATGAATTGTTCGAATCTTAGAATTCTGAAATTAATGAAGAAATAAAGTACGGGGTACAGATTAAAACGATTATAAAATAAATGCCTTATTTGACGCGTTTTACAGTTTGAAGTTTGACAAGCCGCTATTGCATATGGCAAAGTCACAAATGTATATTATCTACGGTCAAAGTTTTAGATGGTGCGCGATGTGTGTAATAATGCTGTTGAAGATGATAACCCAAAACATACATACGTTTTGCTGGCAGTTTCCTTGGCGTATTTGTACAAATATTGACCGGTCGCCAAATCAGCGTCGGGCCACGGATGCTTTTCTCGGCATCGTTATTAATATTCGCGTAGTTGACCGTTCGGGGCCCCGACGAGGGTCGGCTATCAAAATTTAACTGCCCATAAACAGCAACTGCGCTCAATGAACTTCAGTTAACGCTTTCTGAATCCATGCTAGAGTTGTTCCCGAAATCGATTAGGGGAATTGATTGAGATATATTGCGATTATTATGCTCGTTATAACGTTTTAACGTAATAGAAAAGCGTGCTTTTTAATCCTTCATTTTCTATTAAAACGATTTTTTTTTTTTTATTACTTAAATCAGTGGACGAACTTACAGCCCACCTGGTGTTAAGTGGTTACTGAAGCCCATAGACATCTACAATGTAAACCCACCTTGAGATATACGTTCTAAGGTCTCAAGTATAGTTACAACGGCTGCCCCACCCTTCAGACCGAAACGCATTACTGCTCCACGGCAGAAATAGGCAGGGTGGTGGTACCTACCTGCGCGGACTCACAAGAAGTCCTACCACCAGTAAACGACCAGTAACGAGTTACCGTTATAACATGACCGAATCTGTGGAGCAGTAGCTAATGGCCCAGACTGTTGCACCTAGGGTCGTGGTTTCGATTCCCATATCGGGCAAACATTATGTGATGAATAGGTTTGTTTGCTCTCTGTCTAGGTGTTTATAATCTATATATGTATATATTTAAACGTATATACCTAAGTATGTTTGTCAACCTCTAGTACATATAACACAGAGAATCCTAAACTTTGACTGGACGACCGTGCGTGATCTGTTGCCAGTCATTAATATATATTTTTAATACAAAGAAAGAAGTTAATGTTATATTTTAACAAAATATCAAATATCTCGTCGCCGCAATTCACTTCGATATTCAGAATTTCAAATAAAATCATATTAATGTTTCCAGTCGTAAACAAAGCGTTCCGAATATGGACATTATTACTTCATATTGGAATCGAACGCAGCTGTTTCATGCGCCATATTGGTTTCATATCAGTGTTTTTAAGTTTGAATTCACAATTTTTTTCATTTCTCTTATTGCGGTAGTTTCAATGAAATATGTTTTTCCGTTGACCTATATTGGTTCGTTAATTTGTTTGATGACTATAATATTTATTATTTAGTGTTTTCCATTTCAAGGTTCGTGTGTATGTGAGTTTCTTTATTCCACCATATCTTTTAAATGGTATCCTTTGAGTTCTTACATCATCCCCAGTGAGACTATGTTCTTTGGCAAGACGTTCACTTTTTTTAACAATTTCTTTTATAATTAAGAAAATTGTTTTTTGACAGGGCCAGGAGAAAGAGTTTGATCTGCGTGTCATCTCTTTTTGGACATCAATCCAAAATTATTATGGTCGTTTTACTAAATATAGACATAGATAGTTTGTCGTATCTATCAGCAAATGAATGAGATCCAATCGAAGTCTAAATCTTATTAGCGGCTACTACAAGAAATCTTGGATATGGTGACTCTGGACAATATTCGGAACGTCGTCAGAGGTCACCAGAGGATGTCCTCCTGTGATACAGATACCGACAGATCAACTTTTTAATAATATCGACCCAAATGTCATGATTCATTTCGCAACGTAAACACGATCAAAATAAATCATCTTGAAACTTAAGTAACGGGTGTAAACGCCGTCTCTATTACGTGGCCGAAGGACAAATCCCTTAGAATCCCGGTGCTTAGGGAAACCCTTTTCAATTTCACCTGTTTATTTGCAATTTACTAAAAGGCCCCACACTCAAGGGATTGGATGTTTCCCGCAAATTTTACTTCGTTCAATCGATTTCATTTACTAACGTGTAAATTGAAATTCCGGAGTTGGCTTCTTCGAGTATCGCGTACCGAAATTGAGATCAACATCTCAGTGCTGGGAGGACTCAGCGTGCGGCAACATTTATCTGTGACTGTTCGAAAATGAACTTATAAATTATTCGGTCAATTCTTGCGAAAAACCCTTAAAGTTCAAGGTAAGGTATAAGTATTTCGCATCAAGATATTGGCCAGAAAAAGATTTTTAATTGCTTAGATGGATGAACTAGCTTACGGCCCACTCAGTATTAAACAGTTGTCCGATTCCATGGATATCGTATTGTGAATGCCACATTCACCTTGAGACATGACATGATTAACGACTGTCTCAACCTCCAAACTGAAATGCAGGGCGGCTGCGCCACAGAATTGGCCGTGATGCCCGACTACGTAGTGGTAGGAAATGCAGGATAACTATCGCAGTACACTAGTTTAATACCCAGATAATGCTGCTGCCCACTCTCTGGTGAACCCCTTAATCGCCTATTATGGCACACACAGGAAGAGATGGGGTGGAGTTATTTTATGCTGGCTGCCTTATCGTGATAAATTTCGGCAATCCAACACACTGGGTGGGCGTTTAGTTCTTTTAATAGCCATAATAGGGGAATAGATAGTGGATAGGATAGTATCTATTAGTGACAAATAAATCAATACCGATTTTTGTATTTCTAAAAAAATCCAATGATCCGAATCCGAACATTTTGCTAACAGAAAGCTACATTCTGATTAGTAAATCTTGGACTAATGATGAATTATTACAATCGATAACGGAGAAGACATTTTCATTATAAGGAAATTGGAGTGGCAGGTGGCGAATTAACGCCATTGTAATAAATTGCTAACCAGGCATTTCCAATAAGGAGAGCTTAGAGCTCGGAGCGCTATCGTAAACGCCTAATTATGAGCTTTTAGAATTTACGTTAAATAAATAATTATTGCATTAAATATATTTCAGAAACCAATTATTGTTAAAGTGGAGTCAAATGGCTTTAACGTTTGTATCAGATTAAGTCTTTTACTTGTTTGTAATATTTATTGTCTTTGAATTCTGTTTTGACATAACTAAAAAGTCTACAATAGTAATTAAGCACTGATAATAACGATAATTCATCATATAGATACATATCAGGAAATATCTTATCAATCATCGCATAATATACTTTTCAAATATTGTCACCTAAAACACCACAAGTAAAATGTAGCTAATCAATTCGAGATTTTACGAGCGGAATCGAAAGAAACGGATACAGTTCAAACGTAAACATACTCTCTTTGACGTAAACAAGAATAGACCCACGCGAACTCAATGGACAACTAAAAATATACAAATCTCCTTGCGCACCGCGACTGGCCGGCCGCAACGTCGACGCTGTTTAAAAATAACAAAGTAACACACCGGTCAATGACGTCTGTCCTGTTATTGAAGAAATAGCAGCACAATCAAACAACAATGGACATAAACGAGGACATAATCAGAGAGGAAGTGAGCAGCTTCGTGTCCAGTCTACAACGACTGCTGCCCAAGAAAAAGGAAATCATAGTTATACAGCCGCAGAAAGTAAGATTGACAAGGCTAAACGATGTTCATTATGAGGCGAAAAACGTGTTTCCAAAGTGCTTTATCGGTGCTAAGCTGGTTGTTTTGAGAGACGTACTGGACAAAGTCAAATTAATTCAACAATACAATTACGGTAAACCAAAAGATTCATATAGAACTTTCGGACATTTGATACATCAGGAAACGGAGCCTAAGCATGTCGATGATGGCTTAGTGATCGACTCCGCTGGCAGCGCGACAGCGACGTACAAAGAGGTCATCGAGGGGTCATACGAAATGCGTTTGACATCGCGGATCAAAGATTTGGTGTCCTCGGAAACCGAAATAGTGTTTGATAAGGAAAACGAGAAGTCAGTCGGTACGGTCTCGTGTACAATGAGAGACGTTGACCCGACCAGTCTTAAATTCATAACGCAATGGATGTATAAAGTTCATTCCGATGTTTATGTTGGCACAGAAGTTGGGATAAGGCCTTTAGCGTTCCCCGCGGCGCCTGATTACTCATTGAGCGTTCGATATGAAAAGCCTTCTTTCGCATTATCGTCGACGATCAGCAAGATTGGTTTCCAAGCTTGTTTATACAAGAAATTCGCTCCGGATTTAGCGATTGCCTCGATTCTTAGTGAGGACGGCCGCGGTGTTCCCGTGTCTGTCGGGCTGGCGTTGCATAAAAATTTCGGGAGTGACACCGATTTGAAGGTGTTTGTAGATTCGCAGCGCTGCGGGGGATTTACGCTTCAGAAAGATGTCCATTTCCGCGAGAACCGTGAGACCCGGGTCCTCCGGATCATAGCCAGTACCCTCATAGACAAGCAGAGGAGGGTGCGATTCGGTTTTGGTTTTAATCTTGACTTTTGACGATTATTGTGGTTTTTTTTTCTGTTATATATGTATTTAATGCGCGAGTCCTTTTGTAGATATATTGTTTGTTTGTACTTACATAAGTATACATAGGTTTGAGTTGTTTTATCTTTGCGAATGTTCAATGTGTGATATTTTAGATGGTATTAAAGTTTGTTGTTTTTGATTTTTTTGAAGGTTTAATTTAACATCAGCTTTGTTATTTTAGCTATTGTATATTATAAGAGCTAAGCTGGCAGATGGTTCAAGGTGGATACTAGAATCGTTAGTAGCACTGTCTGCTCCTGTTTCAGAAGAGTCGATAAGGTAATTTTACTGCTCAACCGGTCACACTACACAGTGGTGCCACTCGGCCTGAAACATGAGGCACATTTATGCCTCAATTTATGACACTAAGCCTATCTAACTCTTGAGACTGAATTATCTAAGACAATAGTGTGGACATTCAGTTGCCATCAGCAGTTTTATTTATTTTCTTTAATTATTTCACAAGAAAAAAAATCAATGTAAATAAAAGGTCGGTTGTCTCAATAAAATAACGCATTGTGATTTTGGTATTCAGTCAGGTTGTAATATATTACACGGATAACTGTTCGGATGCCTGAAAAATCACCCTGTATAACCGTTACTGATTAGACGGTACACCTCAGGATAGTATAAGCCACTGTAATATCCTGCCGAGAACCCGGATTTTCGCATTACCGAATGTGTGTGCAAGCGCTAAGCTGCTCTCAGAGACTCATATTCGGGACAATATCGTCTAGGGTGGACCATCACTAGGATAGTTTGGATGTGGCATTTTTAATGTTTCATATTTTTTGTACGTAATTAAAAAATCTTTATTCACGTAGCTGATAAAATTTTAACGATCAACAAATCACTGTGTTAACACAATTCTAACAGTAATGAGGCAAGTTATATGGGTTAAGTTCCTCTAGTATTCATATTACGAGCGAATTCGTCATATTTTCATATATATAGAGCCATAAAAAAAGGATGTGGCGATAACATCAACAGAAATAGGATATATTAATGTTTAACGCTATCCCACTAGACAAAAGTAAGCAGTGTTCATTTTTTCTTGTTTCTATTTATTGCGTGGATGGGTGAACGAGCGCACGGGTACCATCCTGCCTATTTCTGCCGTGAAGCAGTAATGCGTTTCGGTTTGAAGGGTGGGGCAGCCGTTGTAGCTATACTGAGACCTTAGAACTTATATCTCAAGGTGGGTGGCGGATTAACGGTGTAAATGTCTATGGGCTCCAGTAACCACTTAACACCAGGTGGACTGTGAACTCGTCCACCCATGTAAGCAATAAAAAAAGAGACTTCAAAAACAAAATTTAAAAAACCGATATACTATGTTAGTAAGATTATGTTTACCAAGTTCTTGTAACAAAACGTGATAATTTACACGACGGAATCTTCAGTTGATTTAACACCAATATTAGGAGTTTGTTTTGTCCAGTCCTTCACTTGCTTAATTCCAACAGAGTTTACGACTTTGATTTAGTATGAATGCGCATCCTTATATTATTATATGAACCCGACAATTCAGTCGTAAAACCGAGGAAGTATTAGAGGAACATAAAGAAGAGATAAGCGCAGGGAATACTAAACTTTACGGTGTAACAATCACCGTGAGTTCCGGAGTGTCCTAAAAAAAATTCCTTACCAAATAACCTTTTATGAATGTATTGACTTCGACTGTACATTAGCGAAAGCGACAGAATATACTTCTGTCCCTCTCCGTTTCATAGAAAAATTATTTGCGAAGAATGACGTAGTGCATCCGTCGCTAAGTTACCGCATGATTAGATAACTGACCTTAAAAAACAAAATGGAACCATTGTCCTTAAGTACTATGACAATACTTTAAATAAAATAATAAATTATTTATGTCACCCTGAAGGCGACAGACTTTATTAACATTATTACATAACGACTTCATCAACTGTTTGCTATGAATGTGAATGTTATGTTGAATATATTTCGCCCCATTTTTACTGGTCCTAGATCATGTTGAAAGGATGAAGTGACATTGATAAATATAGTTTCTTTTAATATATAATTTAACTTAGTTTCTGCTTTTCATATAATATATAGAAACTTGTAAAACAGAAATGAATTTTAATACGATTTATTTAAAATATTTGCAGAGCAACACGTGTTGCCGTTCGGCTAATCATTATTTTAGTGTCTCTAAATTTCACCTTCATCTTTAAAAGTAGGGCCGGCGATGTGGTGACAACAGGCATTCGGTCAAAACATAGCTGACTCATGAGTTGATGAATGATGACTTGATTGATGTACTCTAAAAAATTAAACAATATGCCACATCCATAACGCGAAAGTTTTTACGCTTCCATGTTATTCCGGGCGTGTGTGCGCGCCCTGAGATGCTTATCATACAAAAGCGAACTCATGTATGATTACATCACAATACCTTTATGTACACACTTCATACGCTCTTTATGGGGCATTAGTATCAACATTTTCGTCGTGTTTTTTTTGGGTTTGTTTGTTCCGAGCGTCGCTCAGTTAAGTACAGTATTATTGACAAAAGAGAATACATATTTTTACTTGTGTAATGTGCGTGGAAATGTTTGTGGCTTTGGAGAACAGGCAAGGAGAAAGTAGACGTAATCGGACGCGATAGCCCGCCGCACGTTTTAAATTTGAGCCCATCAGCGCAAAAGTGGCCTAACCCACAATATTTTATATTCAAACTTGTATGAGGTATATTGGAATTTATTTAAAATATAATAAATGTTGATGCAAAACCGGCCTATCCATAGTTTCACCCGCAGATAGCAGATAGTTTTGTAAACATTATTTTTGCGCGTATTTTTTTTGCCTACTCAAATTCAAATTCATAAAAATTCAAACCTAATTGCCTCTATACTAACTTTTTATTTATTGCTTAGATGGATGGACGAGCTCACAGCCCACCCGGTGTTAAGTGGTTACTGGAGCCCATAGAGATCAACAACGTAAGAGCGCCACCCACCTTGAGATATAAGTTCTAAGATCTAAAAATATTTACAACGGCTGCCCCACCCTTCAAACCGAAATACATTACTGCTTCACGGCAGAAATAGGCGGGGTGGTGGTACCTGCCCGTGCAGATTCACAAGAGGTCCTACCACTGGTAATTACGCAAATTATAATTTTGCGGGTTTGATTTTTATTACACGATGTTATTCCTTCACCGTGGAAGTCAATCGTGAACACTTGTTAGTAATTGGTACATGCCATGGCGGGTGTTCGCAAATTCTCTCAGGTTGAGCCCGTGAGCTCACCTACCCGCCCTTTTTTTTTTTTTTTTATGATTGAAAGTTTACTGGTGGCCCGAAGGCCTTTCCAGTTTCACCAGGACAGGTGGGCGAGCAAAGGCTCAGCCAAGAGGGGTGGGATTTGCTAACAACTGCCCGAGCGCCTCCGAAGGAGACCTAACAACTCAAGAGCAATTGTTTCGCGAATGAATCTACTACCGGATCGGAATCGCGNCGGCGAGGCCCCAACTTCTCGGACCTGAGCGGTTCTATTGAACACAGGTGGCGATGCGGCACGATTACTACAGGACAAAGAAAAAACACAACAAAACGGAAATAACAAAAAGAAACAAAACAATTAAACACTTCCAGGAAAGCAGTTTGTCGGCAGATGTACCACGAACACAGAAATAACGAAAGGAAACAAAACAAATAAAAACTTCTAGGAAAAAACACTTGGTCGGCAGATGTACCACGAACACAGGCCGCGCGAACAATGGCCGGGCTAACAAAAGCCGGGCGAACAAAGGCCGGGCGATCGAGTGGTCGATGGGCACGTCCGCACGTGACGGGTGCCTCTATCGGAATGACCTACCCGCCCGCGCGTAGCTGAAATAGCCTCGTAGGCTACCAGCGAATAGACAGTACATACAATCTGGGTATGGATGAACTGTGTTCCGGAGGCGGGCGGTGCGATGTTAAAAACAAAATGAAGGGATCATCTCAAATTGTTCCTCAGAATTTTGTATTATCAACAGCTTAATATAAAATTTCTAACAACCTCATTCGTTGATTTCGGCTTAATAAAAACGCGAACAAAAGATATTGGATACAAAACTCACTCGTCAAAATTTGAAACTCGATATAGCGATGACGAACAAAATAATATTTCATTTTAATAATAGGATATTGTGCTGTTTGTTGCTATAGGATTTACTGGGGGTGGCTGTCCCGATTTCGTATTTATTTTCCATAGTAACTAGCCGTGCGACGTGGACGGGCATCGCGCCAGATAAAGGCGTTGTCACACACAGTTCGAAAAAAAGCTGCGTTTTTTTTTGTCGGAGTCTTCAATAAGTATAATTTTTTTTCTTTTCTATTTAATAAAAATATTATATTTGAATATAAGGTAATTGTGATTGTCCTATATACGTTCCTAAACATATGATTGTGATGTAACTGCCTTAGCTGGTTGGTATTCTAGGTTTTTTTTTATCGTCGTACTGTTACGTCGGTAAGAATAACGCCATCTGTCGCCGAATAGCAGAAACGAATATCAAAAGAACTAGTAAAAGCAAGAATGCTCGAGAATTGTAACGCCATCTATTATCAAACGGCGGAAACTCGTATAAGAAAGGTGCACAGGTGACACGAAAGCAGTTAGTAAACGTTAGTTAGCCTTCTGGTGAAGTGGTAAGTGTGATCACTACATAAGGGTGTCGCGGGTTCGAATCCCGCCAAGGGAAGATATTTGTATGATAAATATAAATGTCTTTTCCAGGGTTATGGATGTATATTAAATATATGTATGTATGTAATAAAAATCTTACATTTATTTCCGTTATCTGGTACCTGTAACACAAGTTCTTTACGAACTTATCACGGGACCAGTTAACGTGGCGTGATTGTTAGTAAATATTTATTTATTTATTTAATTTATTTATTCTACTCGAAGCGAAACAGAGAGCGGATCATCTGAAGCGAAGCGGAAGAAGCGATTTACGAATCGTAATTGACGTAAAAATGGTTACTATGA